ATGCGCAGTCTCTATGGTCAGGTAAATGCCCTACGATCCTTTTTATGCAGAATTCCTACAGATTGCATACAATAACATAGATCTGGCCTCAGAAGACACAGTATGTAAGTTTTAAAGATAAACAGATGATACATAACCTGTTACAAACATATACTACCAAAATGGAAAAAGATTGGTTCTTAATTAAAAGTTAGGAGATGTAAAGAGCCGGTGAGTACTCTGGCTTATTCTAAAAATAGCAGAGAATTTACTTGTCTGCCCCTTTTTTTTTTTTTTTCCATAAGCCAAGCCATACATTTACAGGAAAGGCTACAGAGATTTCAGAGATTTAATTTTCCACAAGCACAGGCCATAAATTAAAATACAGCAATCCAATCCCATTAATAGTGCAAGAAAAAGCTAAGTGGCTGCTTTGGTCTTTGCTTTCATGAACTTGTGTCAAGCTCAGTGACTTCAAAGAGATTTCCATTTCATTTCTACAAATGAAGAGAACAGACAGACAGAGAGTCTCTGCCATCCTCTGATGCCTTAAGAAAACAGAAGAAAAACATGCCTGTATCTCATTCGCCTAATGATTTTAGCTGCAAAAGGAATCCCATGGTCGGCAGACGACCCTCAGGGCAAGGGCTTGAGGTCTGTCACAGTATATAAGGCTTCTCCAAACCCACTCCATTATCTTCATTATTGTATACCAGGAATAAAAGGGGACTGACTCTTCTTCTGAAGTTCAAGTTAGAAAGGACAGAATGTTTCATGTAAAATAACATTGTGTGACTTCAGTAATAGGTTTATGCCTTTGGGGGCCTAATACTAAAGCTGCATATAAGGATTTTCTGCAGAACGTGGGAGAAGAAAAATGAGCACTGTATTAGCAATGAGTAAAATTCCACAAGTTTTACATTCACTGAAACACTCTGTGTCTCTGTGTCAGCATGACTCATTGTCAATCACTTACTTTCACACAGCATCAGTAAAATGGAAAGTTTAGGGGGGAAAAAAGAAAAGAGCATAGAGCTTTAGAGCTAAGTATAATATAAACCCCTGTGAAAACCAAAAACGTACACATATATGCAAGGAAGAAAAGAAAGTAACAAGTTTTTGGGAAGTTCTTAGGAAAGAGTAGGTATCATGGCTTCCTACAAGGGCCTTTCACCAAGGGCATATATACAACAAATCAATGCGGAAAACATTAGTATGAATAGTGATGCTTCCCTTGTCAGCGCATTTGTGGGTACTTGTATGTGCTTACATATATGCATACATACATGTGTGCATTCATGCACTCTGAGCAGTATGTTTCATAGCACTGTAAAAATCCCTGTCCCTTGCTGACAAAATTTACTTAGTATTAACTCTTACTTTCTAACAAATGTAATTTAAGAAAACCATTTACCTTATATCAATAGTTTCTTAAAAACAGTCAGAGCTGTTATCAATATTTTGGAATATCTCACTTGTCCTCAAAACCCACTTAAGAAAAGAGAAGTCCTCTCCCTGACTGATATAAGGTTTGGATCGAGACCTAGAGTTGCCAACCCAGCCCTTTTTCTGGTTTTGAAGAAACAGGCCATTTGAAAGAATGTTTCAAAAGCACATTTCCCGCAGTAATTCAGAAGACAATTTCAAACAATAAAAACGGAGCAAACACAGCCCATTGTACAAGTTAAATAATATATAAACTTTTGAGTACATAGAGAAATGGGAATCTGGCTCATATCTGGTCTTCGAAAGATTCACAGGAAATTGATTTAATTAAACCTCAGCTACTGGTGCAAATGTTTCCCTTTCTTCCCAAAGAGAAATAAAGTGTTATATTATTGTTGTTGACATAATGCAGCAAAGCTTAACCAAGAGCCTTGGTCTTCTCCTACAAAGCTCCACAAACTAGCAAGACTAAAAATTGTTACTGAAATACAGTGATCACGTACTGTTGAACTGTTACCTACATGAACTACCAAACATTCCCACTTGTAACTTATCTTATTCCCAGGGAAATTTATTTGACCTGGGTAAGCTGGAAGAATGGGCTAACAAGAACCTTATGAAGTTCAACAAGGATAAGTGTAAGGGAAAACCTGGGAAAACAAAACCCAGCAGCGCAGCACAGGCTGGGATCTACCCAGTTGGGGAGCAGCTCTGTGGAAAGGGACCTGGGAGTCCTGGTGGACAACAAGCTCTATATGAGTGAACAGCGCGCTGCTGTGGCAAGGAAAGCCAACGGGATGCTGGGTTGTGTCAACAAGGACATCACCAGTAGAGATAAAGAAGTCATTATCCCACTCTACTCAGCCCTTGGCAGGTCACACCTGGAATACTGTGGTCAGTTTTGGTCCCTGCTATGCAAAGAAGATTTGGACAGGCTGGAGAGGGTCCAGAGAAGGGCCACAAAGATCATCAAAGGACTGGGGAGCCTGCCACATGAGGAAAGGCTGAGAGAATTGGGTTTGTTAAGTCCCGAGAAAAGATGGCTTAGGGGAGACCTTATCACCGTGTTCCAGTATTTAAAGGGTGGCTACAAAGAAGATGCAGACTCCCTTTTTAAAAGGAGTCACACGTAAAAGATGAGGGGTAATGGGTACAAGTTACTCCTGGGGAGATTCTGATTGGACACAGGAGGAAAATTTTTCACAATGAGAACAGTCAGCCATCGGAATAATCTCTCCAGGGAAGTGGTGGATTCCCCAACATTAGACACTTTTAAGATCCAGCTGGACAGGGTGCTGGGGTATCTTATCTAGACCGTGCTTTTGCCAAGAAAGCGTTGACCAGATGATCCTTGAGGTCCCTTCCAACCTGGTATTCTATGAGTCTATTATTAATATGCTAATTACCTGACTAGTAACCAGTGATGACTGACAACTTTACTTTAGCACTACATAAAGAAGACCTGACAGTTAAGTAGATTTTCTGTTGCAGTCAAACAGAGAA